TCAGCCCGGGCGTCTTCAAGCTAAAATTGCTATTAAAATCTGTCTAAGTGTTCATTCAAAATTACTTTTCCGAAAAGTTGAGGCGGGATGATGATTTCAGAGAAGATTAGGACTTTTACCTCTTTGCTAATAGCTTGAACCTCAGTTTCCTTTGATTGGAGTTTCCTCTCAAGTGCAGCCACCTCATTTTTGCAACTGGCCAGCTCATCACGGCTTCTGCGAGCTTGGTGCTGCAGCTCTTGTAGACGGTCATGGAACTCATCCTGTCTAGATCTCAATTCTTTATGGAAACAACATATTAGTGAAGAACCATACAATTAACATTGATGGAATATGGTCAACAGCTTCTGCTTATGCGTTTTTGAATTAGAATTCTACCAAAAAGAGGACTCGTCTTTACTTTGAAGTTATGGGTTCTAAAAATATATGTACCTTGCCAATAATTCTTCTTTTAAAGCCTCCTCGTGATCTCGAAGAGCTTCTAGCTCTTTTGTATACAGCATTTTAGCGGCAGTGAGTTCAGTTTCATAGAGTGACTGTGCTCGTCGCAATTTCATTTCAAATGTTTCCCCTAGACGCTCCTTTTCCGATCGTAACGATTTTCTTTCTTCTTCTAATCGCTGGATTTCAATCATATATCTGAAGTGATCTTTTCGGTTATGATTTTTAGGATAACTTTCCCACTTACTTTTGCTCCAAATTCAGCAACTGAGATTCTGAGAATCGCTGCTCCAACAACTGAATCTCCTTTTGGTGCTCCTGACGTAATTTCTCCAACGCTTGCTCCTTTTCGCGTTCGAACTTATCCTATTCAATCATCTATTCTTGAGATTTAAGATATATTTCAATAAAAAATACTCTAACATTCTAAATACTCAAAATGACAATGGTTGTCGTCTCAAGAGTTAATTCAAAGATGTTGAATCAGCTAAGCGCAAGCGTCTCTTGCGCAAACCAACCTGGAGCGCTTGAAAGCTTTTCATTCGCGCTTCGAAATCTTTTTTTGCTCCTAGCACCTCTTCAGAGAGTGCTATGATTTTGCTCGAATATTCTGCTTCTAGTTTTCGCTCACGTT